CACTAATTTATTCGTGTTTTTCTCGTTGCCATGTTCCCACCAATAACGTAGCTCCATTTTCTGCCTTTACTTACTCTATAAAAAAGCTTAACTATTTGAAATTTGTATTCTAAATTGATCGTATCCCATCCTTAAAAGCACACGCAACCCACAATTCCTCTATCCGCTCCGACGAAGGGCTAACGCTCGAAACGTCAGCTTTTCTAATCGTTACGGTGGCCAATTTACCATTTCAACTTTGTTGATATATCCAAATTATTTCGTTACCCCCACCGACACAGCCCCTAACAGTTTCTTTAGAAACTATCAGCCTTTATTCAACCATATATATTGACTTGGTCCATGCCATATATATGTTGCACATATATTCTATTCATATATTTATTTGATCCATGCCATATATACATAACTTTTGCATTTTATTTTTTGGGCAAACAATATTGTCCTATATGGCACCCAATACTTGGCATTTTTAAATAAATTTTTCAATTTGCTACATGTATGCTCCACCAAATGTCACCATTACCCTTTTCAAATACCTGCACACCGGGGAGGGGTGGGGAGAAGGACGTAAAACTCTACCAAGAGGCATTTCACCAGTGATAATTAATCAATTCTACTTGACGTTTGATACACTGTCATACACACGTACTAAGTTGATAATAACAGCAAATTCTCACAGCTAGCCAAGAAAGAAATGCATTGTCTTAGGGTTAGAGCTTTCACTCCCAAGATCTCATTCCTAATTCTCCTTACTGTCTGCTCTACAATTTCTGATGTTGGTTTGGAGAATTTGGTATTGGATCAACCAATAATCTCCTCATTGATATTTATCTCTGTTCTCATCATTTGTCTGCTTGATATTGTATTGCTACAGTAAGGAGATGTTCTGTCTTGGTCACTCATGGGTTAACATCACTGGACTAAGAGGTTTGTACAAGAGATATATACCACTAATTTTCATGAGAAAGGCAAAGCAGTTGGCATCATTCAGAGGGTGAAGGTTTTTTAAACAAATGGCCTTTTAATTGAAATTATGTCATGTAATGTTGCTGGGAATTTTTTTCTTTTTAAGTTTGATATTGCTTTAAAGACATCTGTAAACTCAGTCTTCCATGAAGGGTTGTTATTTCCAAAATAATCTTTCACAAAGCAAACAGTTGAGACAAATTTTAACAAAGCTCTGCAATAAAATTCCTTGCAAAAACACAGTCATAAAAAATATTGCTTAATTCACTAGAAACAAAAATCAATCAATTTGACCCTACCTCTTCTCCAAATTGTTCAGCTATATAGAGACCCATAGAGCCATATTTGTCATAAATTTCCCTTTTACTGGGATCAGCTAATATACTATGTGCATGATTGACTTCTTTAAACTGAAAAAGACCAAACATTTGGATACACTCAGAAAAGATAATTATAATTGGAGTTTGTTTTCATGAAGGATGACAGCCACATCACATCATTAAAAGCCTTTTGGCACAAAACATGCAAAATTTGTTTCAGTCATGCCTCCTCCCCAAAATTCCTGACAGTAATATGGCCTCATTCTAGGAGTTTCAAAGTATTCCAAGACTTATATTGACCCAAACATTTCCTTTTTCTCTTAAGCAAAGTTTGACTTACTTTTTCTGTCGCTTCAGGATTATCAGGATTTTTATCGGGATGGTGCTTCAGTGCCATCTGATGGAACAAAAACACTTTAAAAGATCAACATCTAACATTATTTTACAATATCCTGATTACACTAACAAATCACAATAACTAGCCATTAAGATGGAATATGTGGTCTTTCATAAATTCCATGATTTTGGTTGGCTCACAGAACATTATATCTGAGCTTCTAACCATAGACCTTCTTCATGGAATAAAACAAGCACGTATTCTGCAATGTAAGTGGCAAATTTAAGGATATAGGCATGTTCAATAAACATATATTTCATTTGATAATTTGATGAGTGAAACCAACCTTGTTAGCTACATGCCATTTCATGTGCAACACAGGTAACTGTTTACAATGTTAATTTATGGGAGAATGCACAGATTCCTGTACACTTCCAAGTGGAAAATACAGACAAGTGGCTATAATGGACATGGCAGTTTTTACTTGTGTCAAATCACACACAGACTGACTGTACAGTGTAATTCAAGGCGCATGATGTAATAGTCCGAGTAAAATTTAATGCACGCATAATTTGCGGGTGAATCTGCCGGCTATTCCTGTGGCCAGTACTGTACAAACTTGCAATATCTTAGTAATATTACAATATTATAATAATACAATAATAATAATACAATAATATTATAATACAATAATAATATAATTATTGTATTATTATAATAATATAATACAATAATAATAATAATAATACAATACAAGACTAGTAGACAGTAAGCCTTCAACTACACCACATAATTCCAAGATAACACATGGTGTCTTTAGAATGCAAAAAGGTAGAAAATTGAATAGAAACAATGGACAAAAAATAAACAACAAATGTGCAAATGCACCAGTCATCAGACAGTGTAATACACACAGAGCCACATGCAATTAGCAAATTTTTGGATAAGGTTGAGCATGATACCTTGAATAGTCAATGCTACGATGTTAATTTTATTGTAAAGCACACAATTTTGCTATATACTATTATTAAGGTACTGTAAGTAATTTATGTAACATAATTTATTGAAAGGAGTGTAACATGTTGTTACGTAATGTAAATGTAGAGTATAGTAAGTCATCTACTGTAATCAAGTTTATCGTAAACTATACTTTGTTTGTGGTGTGTTCTCAGTAAACTATTGTAAGCAATGTACTGTAACTGAGTCAAGTAGTGTATTGTAAGTAGAGTAATGTTTTGTAAAATGCCAAAAAAATAAAGAAATTACAAAAAAAAGAAAATGAATAGTCAATGCTAAGGTCAGAGTTATCTGCTGAAGCTGAAGGCTGAAGCAGATAACACAAACATGAGGTTTGATAAGTCATTATGTACAATCATTATGTACATTCATTCTGTTTTACTCCATCTCATTTTATTCTAATTTGGTTTTGCACTCTCCTTTCTTTATATAATTCGACTGAACCAATAATTTACATTTGACAACGGTGACATGTTGTCTTCAAAATGTCATGCTCCCTTTTATTATGAAACCACAAAGATGATGAAAAGAAAGAAAACTACTGACCAAAGACCAAATTCTCAAACCCAGCTTTCCCAGAAATGTGCATTACCTAGTTATGAGAAGTGATACTGAGAGGTGCTGCTGGCAAGGGCTGAATGTCTGAACACACAATTTTAATTTCAATTTAAAAACCTTTTGTCTATGTACAATACAATCACATGACAAGTTAACAAATCTCACCTTCCTATAGGCTTTCTTAATTTCCTCTTGCGTGGCAGTTTTGTCAACTCCAAGAACATCATAGAGTGAAGCCCCCTCTTTTCTGAAATAGCAAAAACATTATATAAAACCTTCTGATGGTAAAAGAAATAAGAATTTGCTCTGCCTGAGGTCTTTCTAAATAATTTGCAAAACAAACGGTTGAAACGTCACAACTACTTGTCATGAATGACAAATCATGATAAAGGCAAATAAGACTTCTAGAAAAATGCAACTGGTATTTGCATGAATTAGACCTCTCATATTGCTGCAAGAAATAGGTCATTACCAGTAAATTAAATTGATCAAAGGTATTGTTTCACTTATGACATTTGGCCAAGATGTTCTGAAACCTTTAACTTGCATGAGTGACCAAGACTCAATTTCTCCTTACAATATCAAACAATATCAAGCAGACAAGTGATGAGAATAAAGAAAAATATCAATTTGGGAATTATTAGGTGTTACAATTCAAAATTATCCAAAGTAACATCACAAGGATTGTATGGCAGACAGTTAGGAGCAAGATCACAGGAGCAAAAGGGTTGAGTGAAAGGGTTGAGTGAAAGGGTTGAGTCATTGACTTACTCTTTAAGCACAACAAAATTGATTTCCACTCTCCCCTGGAAAAAAAACTTGACCAAGTTTGGTTACCTTGTTGCCATAACAATACCTTACTAAATCCTATAATTGTATCAGACCTTTTCAACTTGTGAAAATGAAATTTAAGTTTCCTGTTAAGGATCATTATGGTACTTGTGATTTGACAAAAGAAGCCAACTGATACTTCAAAAGGATATTGTCATGATAGCCTTTGTTGGTTGTAATATTGCCTTTTCATGGAAATTGTATTAATGTGATTTTTCCATTACCCTGAGTTCAACTGTTAAAGCAATTTAGCAAAGAGGCAAGTACTTATAATGTTATAGCTGTGATGTTCACCGTTACAATAATGCCTCAAAATTTAGTGAAAGATTTTTCAGACTAGGATCTTACTTAAAATAACAAAAAAACTCGATATTAGTTTATTTATCAAATCGTTTTTTTGTTTACATAAGAAAGCCAGACTCGAAACAGCTATTTACATATTTTTACGGTCCGTGCGTTGGAACTTCTGATCTAACGGGAATTTTTTCCTCGAAACTGTAACAGTCTTCTTCAGGAAGTTCCTTAAAAATTGATTTTTCTCGAAACAATTATCAAGTAATTCAGCAGATCACATGACTAATTTTGTAAGTGACAAGACTTTTACACTATTCGACCAAAATGTGCTTACATTAGTAAAGCTTACATTCGATTCGATTCGAATCGCCATCAAGCGAAGGTAAAATATGTGGGAAACCTGACTTGAACGTAAAGAAAGAGAAGCCTGATTTCACGTTAATTTGCTCCAATCGAAAAACATTGAAATTTGCAATAACCTTCGAAAGTTGTGGGTACAAAAATCAATGCAATAGCTTATTATTTGTAGTCACGCCTATGAGATATTGAAATCAAACGAGCCGTTATGTATAGGCTCACAAAACACTTATCCCACTGGGTAGACATGAAGCCACTGCAACCTTACAGAAAGGGAGAATGTATACAAAATAACAACAATCATCGTCTACGTGTGACAGATAGCTAAACAATCACTTCATTTCCTCTCGGATCAAAGGTTCGAAGAAGAAATGTAAAAACGTATTTGTATTTAACAACCGCAAACCATCCTGAACGTGCCAATAATGAATTCATCCGACTGACCAAAGAACACAAGACTGAAACGAAACAAAGCCACCTTGAAAGCATCAACGAAAATTGTATTATTCCGCTGAAACTGCGTTGAATTCTGAGAAAGATTTTACACACGGTATTTTAAAGTACGCTGTTCACATATTCAGGTTATTTTAAAAGCCCCACAAACTACAATTTAAACATGAAATGCTTACGAAAGAGCATGGTCCTGTCCTTCTCCTTTGCTTTCGCCATTGACACCGGAGTGTGGTGCCATTATACTGGCGAAACCGAACAAAATTTGGCAGTTAGGATGATGCTATACAGCACACCAATACATTTCAACGAAGCCCTTCACTCCCGCGAATTGTGACGTCACACACGGGTCATTCCCGAAGCACCAAGGACACGTGACCAATTTAATTGTAATTGGGTACTTCAGGACATCAAAAACATAGCGAGATAAAGATACAGCTTTGGAATAAAAGATAAAGCTTTCGAATAAATTAGCCCACCTTATCGCCAAAAAGATCCCATACGAATTGACTGCAACAATAAGTGTTGGTTAAGGTCCTAGACGAATCTATGAGCCGTGAAAAAATAATAATAATAGATATTGTAACGCTTCATGAAAGCGCCGTACCTCACTTGTTTTAATCTATTCCGATGTAGATTTAAGAGCTTAACGACCCATGAAAAGTTAGCTCTCAAGCAAATAAAAGAGATCAATTATTCATTACTTCACCGAGAAAATAAAATAAAATTTCATGAGTCCTGAATCGTATCTTAAACCCTAGTCTTCAAACAAAACAAAAAAAAGGAAAAGAAAAAGAAAAAGAAAAAAGCAAGAAATGAAATCTCACAGAAAACTTCTTTATGGGTGTTGGGTTCCCGAAATTGAGATAATTTTCTGCGCGCCTAGATCTCGATATTTTGATTGAGTAGCTATGTAATTGCATTTTTATTAAATCATCTGGGTAAGAAAAATAAAGTTTATCAAAAAGTGGCGTCATTCATAATTATTCAGTAGCATTTCACTTCCTTTGCATCGGTAAGAAGTCGTTCGAATGGCGTGAAAGAGTCCGACGGAATCTCTAATAATGAACCACAAAAGCCAATAACGGGCAGCTAAGATCAACATTTGATGATTCGTACTCTCGATGAGATTTGTTCCCTTTGCCATTTTCCACTACAAAAATTGTGATTTTAAGTCCAACCGTCTCAATTTTAGGAAATGGTGCAACATTACTGTTGATAAGAGGTTTCTCCCTTAAGGTTTTTTTTTACGACTGAATCTTCAAATTCTTCACAATGAACTGAGAGCGGCTATCTATCATATACTGCAAATGCATTTACTCTATCGCACAGTATTTTAGGCTAAACTCTTTACGGTGCTCTTAATATATCATTGGATAGCCCTTAAGTGCTGGTTTAGATCCTCAGGTTGATAAAGTGTTCTTAAGCCTGCTATTACAGATTGATTATAGGTTAAATAGTATCTTATTCATAAATAGGAAAAAAAAAAGAACCTCAGTTTCCGATTTCAATGTATCTGGGTATTCTGCATTTAGGGGGAGAAAATGCGACAGCAGGTCACGGATGAATAATTGTTGTAATGGACATCAGCGCGCACAGACTGGTAGGGAGAAAATTATGCTAATTATTCAATCGTAATTAACATTCGTCACTAAGAGATTGAAAAGTGATAATTAAGCGGTTAATTGACAACGTAGTGGAACGATAACAATGTAGATTTTTTTTTTATCGAGAACTTGTGATTGCTTAACTGCCTTCCTTAGATTTTTGATCAAAAGTTGATTCTAAGAGATTGTATGGTTCTCGGGCGACTTCTCGCTCGTTTGTGTCAAACTGTTTTGTTTTGTTTTGTATTAATGACTTTACCGGGTGTGACTAGAACCGGAAGGGTTAGTGCGAACGGAACACAAGGTCCATGCGAGGCACCACCCCTCCCCCCAAATCACCCTGGATAGACACTGCACAAAGATAGACCACAACACCGGGCACTACGTGCCCTACTCTTTTCGAGGAGTGTGTGGGTTCTTTAACGTCCCACAAATTTAAATCACATATAAGGGCTGATTTAGTGGAGCACCTACTTTACGGAGGCCATTGGACGATACGGATCACTGGAGGTTTGAATTTACTTATATCTTTTCTTTAAGCCCATCTGGCCCGTAACATTTTCGGATCTATTTGGCATTGCAATCGCTCATGCGCTGTTCAGTTTCAACGTGAAATAAGTATGATCTTGGGTGTAGCGCTTGTGAAATATATACTCTCCCAGATTAGGTAAACGGTGAAGTAAAAAAAAGTCAAAATTTTATGGGTCCATCTCAGGCAAGCTGCTCACGCGGGCAACTAAACTACATTGCTCCTATTTGAATCTGCAGTTTGAGAAAAGCTTTATGGTGTTCATGGGTGAACTGTGCGAATTCAAACATATAAAACCACTCTATTCAATAATTAATACAAAAAGGAAACAAACATCCGTCCGGAGTCCGTGAAATACGACGGTGTAAACGTGAATGAGTTCGAAAGGCAACGAATATCATTTACAATTGAATTGAGTTCAACGGGCGTGGATCACGTAAACAAACCTCTGATACAAGTCTTAGTCCTCTTCGTGAACGCTAATATACAGAATCATTCAATGATACGAACCCCGACTCGTGGGATGGACAGACTACTCATATTTCCGTTATGCTTTGAGGTTTGGTTTTACACAGGCCCAATCTCTTTCATGCTCTTACCGGCTCCTTTCCTCTTTCTCGCGTCCAGAGCTGCTATTGACAACGGATCATCCCTACCCTTGAACTGTGGTTATAGTCAGTTTCTCAAAATCAGTGACGAACCAACTGTTTTTGCAAAATCTTACGGTACAGTTTCAAGCCTCGTGTCACTCATTTCAGCTGCATCTATCTTTGGAAGTTTGCTGGTATAATTTTGTTCTATCTTAAATGATCCGATATACTCAACGGTGCTTGTGGAGAGAAAACATTTTACGCCTTTGTGATTGCGCATGATTTTATCGGCCTAACAGCCTCCTTCCATTCAATTTCAATGGTTTTGCAAATGAATTTGATGCCTAAATTCTTTAGCGCTGCAGTTGAGCAAGGTTCGCGGACATAAAAAGAAAAAAAGCAAAATTTCTGCATCTATATGAAACTTTCAAATGCTGTGCAAAATTTTTCGAAATCCCTCTTTGATCGAGGGAATCAAAGTCAATTTCTTTCGAAAAGTAAAACGTAACACAATCAGAGTCGACGTGAGGTCGTGAAACAGAAATTGTTGGATTATATTCTTTATTCATCCATCATACGAACGCATGGTTTGTTGTCAGAGTCTGGTTGGGTTCATGTGAAAATCAGTCGTGTTAAATCAGCATTCTATTGAAAGATAACGTCAGCTTATCCGAGTCATGAATCACTTTCGGTCGAACATGCTGCATATCAATTTTTGTAAAGTAATTGATGTCTGATCAGAGGTTTGAAAACGCGTAATCGTGTATTTCTTTCCAGTTGATGAATCCGGTGTAATTCTTTTTACAACCTGTTATGTTTTCACAATGCCAAAAAGGTAAGTTCAAGATTGTATCAGGAATGGATTTCACTTCACATGACTACAGAAAACGCGATTTGCTGTTTGCGAGCTTATTGCTTTCGCAACAGCAAGACCTCGAAAATGAAATATTCCGGCTAGTCCATAGTGACAAATCTAATTCATCGCTCACATACTAAATGATAAGTGGTGCTATATGGGTATAAGACAATTCGCCTGCTGAAACGCTGGCGTGAACTCTAGAAGCAACGATGGGATTGTAAATGGCAAGTTTTCCTTCTCGAATCAATGCAGGAAGTGCCAATCTAGCTGATCGATATTTGGTTTTTGATTAATTCTGCTTTCTTGACGCCCGGCGATATTTGCATAATATTGTTGCAGACTAATTGTTGACGAAAATTAGCCAAAGTCTTGTATGTTTTTGCGTTGTGAGTTTTTTTTTCAAACTTTGCAAAATTCCTTCGATATGTAGCGTATGTGACGTCATCCAGAGAAAACCATTTGAATCCAAACAAATATGTTAAGACAGGTGATCTGAGATGTAATGGTAAACATGAGCATTTTGTTCGTTCTAAATGAAAAATGCTGAAAATATAATTATAATTCTCCCCAAAACTGAAGATAAGAGCGTCTCTGGCAATGCCCCTCACCGATCTTAAAGATATTTTACAGACCGAGCCAGCGCCCAAAAGTATTTTGAAAACTAAGCCAGGATCGATGCGTTTCCGAGTTTCGATCGGTGTTAATAGAAGTATATACTCATAATTTTGCGAGATTATTCTCCTTGAACTTGACAGCGGTCGCGACATATTCTTCACACTTCACAAATAAAGCCTTCTTACCTATCATCGTCCATCTTCTCATATTCCATTCTCGCCAGTTGTTGCTACGCAAGAGAACTGGCAAAGTCGCAGATTTCGATGTCATGTCAAAATTCTCTACACGCCATTTTCCCCCGATCGCTCGCACGAACGGTTAAGCGTCGCACCACTGAGCATGCTCAGTGCGGCACCTCTACGTCCTTTTATGGTCTCCAACACCAGCTGTTCGTGCTGGGTTTTCGTAATGGAGAGAATCTTGTGAATAAAACACAACGAAGCTCAAACACAACATAAGAGAAATAGGGTTAATTACATTCAACACAGATTTGATAAGCGACTGTGTTTTTCAAAGTGGACGCATTCGTATTTTCTCGCACAACCGGAAGACCATATTATACTATAACCTATACTCAACCGAATTGTCGATAAAAACAATGGAAATGAAACTATTTAGAATAAGAGTAAAAGAAAAACAGATCGCAAATGTCATTCTCTCGCCAAAGAAATTAACACTATTCCGTAAAAATTATATGTAATAGCAGATGCAATTTTCTCTCTGCAAAATCGCATAAAAAAAGACAAAAACAAAAACAAATGTCTTCCCAATCCGGTTCCTTGGTTTAATTCGAGAAAAACGATCTCTTAATTCGTTATTTGACCATAAAACTTAATAATTTCTTCCGAAATAACATGAATCTTGTTCAATTTTCATAAAACCTTTTATTTTCAATAAAAATTATTTATTGAAGAAATCATGTAAAACCATATTCTTTTTCGCAAAATACACTGATAGAATTTGAATAGGTAGCAGAGACGCCTGATATTACTGTTTGCCTTGTTCTTAAGTGGATGAAACATTTTTGGGTGAATTTCCTCGCTAAGATGCATTTGCCTTATACACATGGTAAATTCATTAAGTTTTCTGTTGTGGTTTTTCGCTAACGTAAGTAGCTGGCTAGCTTGGTCACATTCTCGAATTCAAGAGCTATTTTTAAATCAATGCTTGGCCACCGATGAAGTCAGGATGAGCTTAAAGTCTCTCAATTTTTAATAACTTTTTTTTCACACCACAAACGAGCGACAGACCAAACAAACGGGCGGAAAATTGTCTAGAAAACAGCATCATTGAGCTAGGAATTTCAGTGTTTACAGTTTGTCTTAGCCCTTGAGAAATGCCAAAGCAGATTGTATCTGTTGTGGTTACACGCGATATAACCGCACAATCTTGTAAAACTTGCACTGGAGATTTAGAGCTTCCAGATTCCTTGCTTGTCTCGAGCGGTCGAGTAATCTCGGAAGGTAGAGCGAGAAAAAAATCATGTTTAGATTAAAAAAAGACCACATCCAAAAACAACCCGTTTTAATCAGTTCATCGTTTGAAAAACCAACAGAAACTTAAAAGCTCGTGTGTTTTGATTTTAAAATTTCGAAATTATCTTTTTTTTTCACAATCGAAAAGGAAACAAAGCGCCCATCGCAGGTGCGTCCCAAGGCACACATTCCATCCCCTTCCTTATCGAGAAAAGGTGAATTTTGTAATGATTAAACACCCTGGTATGTTACCCCTGAGTGACTGTAGGACGATATAGGACCCCCTCTCCTGCTAAAAGAATTTTGGAGATAGATGCAGAATGGATGTCTTCAGAAAAAGGGATAATCTGTGCAGCACAGGAAACAGCCGGGCCCTGAGAACTAACGTAGTCGAGTGCTAGCATCATTAACAGACCCTCCTCTGTGAAGACTCCCTATTCAGTTATTGCTTAGAAAGTGTGCGCGGGGTATCAGTAGTTAGTGGTTGTCCTGATTTGGTGCGAAATGAGTGTAGAGGAATTGAAGAAAGAAAGGTATAGTCTGATCGTCCGGGTGAGTGTAGTCCTGAGAAGGACTGTTGTCGGTGGTAGTGACTGACGTTTCAACAACCTGTGCGGAAGTCATCATCAGAGTCAAGTGACTTGATTTTGATGATGACTTCCGCACAGGTTGTCGAAACGTCAGTCACTACCACCGACAACAGTCCTTCTCAGGACTACACTCACCCGGACGATCAGACTACGCCTTCACATGTTACCCCCGGGTTCAAACTATTTTACTGCATGAAGAAAGAAAGTAGTTAGATGTGGATAGGCACCAGCGTATCTCTGCGATTAGGAATGATCGAGTAAAAGTGCTGTTGAACAATAGCAACATCGCTGACAGAAGCACATAAAACTGGCCTGCCGGTATCACTCTTGTTTCGAAAGATAACACAAGCGGGCATGCAGCAATTGAATTCAAGTTGCGCGGAATCAGTGGCCAGAATATTGCGACCAGTGACACTCGGAAGATCCATAGAAGTAAATGGAACAAGGTGTAACCTTTGAAGCAAACCGTATAAATGTTACGCTATATTTAAAAAAATACACACTTACTGAACCAAGAAAGTCAAAATGCAATAAAAACTTATACAGTCAAAGTTTCTTTAAATTATATTGTATATTAAAAACTTTATCTCCCATTCAGCTAATTCAGTTTCATGTCCATGCAGACTACCTGAGCCTTCAGCTAAGAAGCCTAGAGTTTTTACAAGGATTCCTTGATGTTCTTTGCTTCACAAGTACACCTGACGTTTCTGGTATTATAGGTTAATAAAGGAAACCATCAGATCTTTATAGACAGCAGTAAACAAATAAAATTTATATTAAGTCTCTTTGTAAATGTTTCTCTTGTGTGTACATTTCTCTTGCACACTGGTTGAGCCAGTTTTTTTTTTTTTTTTAACTTAATTATTTAGTTTAAACAGCTTTTTTTTTTTTTTTTTTTTTGTGGGATTTAACTTAGTGTAAGGCAAACTCGGCGAAAGGAGAAATGAAAAATGAACCTTCCTGCTAAGCTTTAAAAATCTGCCTCTAACCTGGATTGACTCAATCGTGCTTTGACCAGCCCAGTCGAGACCTTTATCTGAACGTAGAACAAAGCAGGTTCTTAGTTTGTTTTGGAAAGGTGCAGCATTAAAAAATTAACCTGCAGTGTCATGTAACTTTTTTTCAGAATGTAGAAAATCTCGTGAAACAACTAAAACAAAGTAAGATCAAATGTAAAAAAGCTAATGACTTATTTTGTCATCAACAAAACTACAATCTCATATATGGGGAGACAGAGCTAAATAACGAAACGTTACGTCAAAGGTATGCGGTAAACAACACGGGCTCAAGCGTGAGAGGATTAAAATTTAGTGGACTTTGCGAAAATAATAAGGAGCTGACATTTAAAACCGAGTAATTTTGTTGATGTCGAAGGCATTTTCCTATTTCCAAAGGTTTTAAGGAGAAAATCAAATATTCAGTGGGTGTGCAACGTTCTTGGAAGTTGTTCTGTAAAAGAAAAGCGGTAAGGAAAACAACGCCTCAATTAAAGCAACAGAATAGAAAGTCAACAATGCGAACGACTCAAATTCCGTTTTCCCGCCGCGTCAAAATCTAGCGCGTGCGCATATGCTATTCAGCTCTGTCATATGGGGATAATTGACGACACTACACATTTTGGCTTATAAAATGCATATGGCTATGAAATCCCAGTTGTTTTAACTTTTTTTTCCTATGGTCCAAAGCCTACAGTTCTTTTGTTTGAGAATTTTGTCCTTTGGATGAAAGGATCCTGGTCATTTTACCCATCTGTCCAGACACGTCTCCCTTGGCGTTCGGCAACCATCCATACATTGGCATCGGATCTTGCTCGGCTGAATAACTGTCGTCACGTTCCAGCACACCTCTCTCTATAAGATCCTCTACAGACCGTTCAGCGGCGGTTGTGACTACGCTCATGTCTTGAGGAAATGCTACCTGCCCTATAGTAAACGGTCCCATGTAATAGATAGGGGGTGCACCAGGATCTTCAGCGGCAGGTACGAGAGAAAAATTATTCATGTCTATGAGAGCACCAGATGGACGGAAATACTTCGCTCCATTCCTTAATACCACATTTGGATGATTTTCATGCCTCTCGGACTCCGAGATGTTCCGAAAAGGAACCAAAATCTCGCTAATGAGCTTTCCTTCATTCAGCGATTTCGTCAGTGGGGAAGGATCTTTCTCAAATACACCCTTCTGACCAGTAGCATCCACCATCACATCGTGACAGGCTTCAAAACTAGATTCTTCATTAAATTTCCACGATACTTTGACCCCACATCTATCTTCTCCTTCGTCAATTTTGTAATCTTCGCCAATCCTTGTCACCTTGAGGTAGCCGCCTTTCATTAGAGACAAGATCTTCTCGGCATTTTGAACTGGAAAAGGGCCTATTAGCAGATGGAGCTCGGTCTTGATTTCTTCAAACCTGATGCGATCCTCTGCTGAAAAGTAGTTAAAAGCCTCGTCAAAGATTGCATAGGACTGATAAAAGACATTCTGAAGGAGTAGTGGTACGCCACTGATCAAACTTTCTTTTGCCTCTTCGAGCTCGCGGCTTAATCTGTCGACTGGGTCAGTTGCTTGAAGCAGCATTTTCATTTTAGAGACAACGTCTTCCAGCGACACCGTCTCCCAGTCATCTGGAAAATGGGGGCGAAGGTGGGGAACTTCATCATAAATCTCTCTCTTCAGCAGATTCCAAAAGTCATCCAGAGGCATAAATCCATCATTGGCTTCTATAATGGGAATAAATGATGAAGGTGTTAAGTACTTGTGGGCAAAGATCTTGTTCACAACCACGCCCATGACCTGTGGTAGCAATGCCTTGCGTCCATACATCGTCATCTGGAATTCTTCAGCTCCTTTGATGGGAACAAACTTCAAGGTATTTGCGCCACTTTGATGACTGGCTTGGAATGATCCGTTCTTTTTGCTTAGCGTGAGTGCCGCGTCGATAGCTGATAAGGAGCATCCGAGTATTCCAATGTTCCAACCTAGCTGGGTCTTTTCTTGCACTTCCTTTGGTGGAAATGGTGAAGGAAGCCAGCGTGGAAAGTCAGGAAATCTGTTGTAGGCCCAGTGACCTATGGCAAGAAAGAGATATTTAGCGAAGACTTTATTCCCCTTTTCAAGACAAAGCTCGTATCCATGGGTATCCAATTTTCCTTCTGTTAGACGAACAGAAGTAACCTTTGTCCGTTTACGCACATCAACTGTGAATCCCTTTTTCTTCAGTGCCACGACGAACTGTTTGAAGCGGTCGCTTAGGTAGAGGCCCACCACAAATCTGGGAAATGGTTTATGCAGCCAGGTGGGACTTTCAGCCTCGTCAATTTCCAGACTGGCACGGTGTTTTGTAGAAAGTGAGCGGAGCCAAATTAAAAAATCCGATTGTTCAGAGAGCGGTATGTATGTTGCTGTTATCTGTGTACATCCACCTGCAATGTTAACGATGTGATCGGGAATTGTCATGTGTTTTGCATATGGCATCCCCGGTCCTAATTCTTGGCTGGATTCCGCCACTAAAACACGGCACTCCTGTCGGTCTTTGGGTAACGACTGCAAGGATATCTGGCCCAACACCGCTGTACCATAGGCACCAGCTCCAACTATCGCGATGTCGTACCCAGGAAGAGATTCACTCATGTCTGAAAGTTACAACAAAATACATTCATTGGAAGTTAATGGCAGAAAAATAATTTCAGTCGACAGAAAGCTTTATGGAAATCTCGGAAAGAAAACTGTGTTTGTCCCGTTTTCATTTGTTAGAAATCCCAGTTAGGCATTATTATAAGATAGGGTCTAAAAGTACCTACGAGTGACCACGAGTGACCACGAGTGAGATTAAATCAAAATATCTCAGTTTTGTTACTATGACGTCGTTACGCAGTCAAATTCACATCATTTCATCGAATACCTATTAGAAAGGAGACTATTGACTGAATATTTTCCACGACATACGTCCGATAATTGACAAAAAAGTCCAAAAACTTTATTTAAAAAACCATAACTACAGCAAAACGTATATTATATTACATCACAGTGTTATTTAACTTTTTGAAAACACGCTAAGCGTTTGATTTGAATAATTCCTTTGAGACACAACGCAACCAACGTTCCACCACTGTCATGTACTCCTCCTCTACTCGACCATAACAAAAATACAACTTCAGAGCGCGTGAAGTAATAAATTTTTTCACCCGTGCTAAACGAATTTCATTATATCAAATGGAATAAGAAAGCCCAAGAGATCATATTCTCTTACAAAGCCCTATAAACTGACAAGATATTGGGAACATTAGTTGAAGGGCCGCGGCCACGGCTGTTTGACATTCTCAAGGCAAGACCAAGAAATCGCAGGTAATTTTTGAGACGTAATTGTTTTAAAATCCTATTGAGGTCAAGATATTCTTTCTTCCTGGCTAACTAGTTTTAGCTATCGACTTCCATGCCATAAAACCAACTTCTCATGCATCACGGCGAAAGCCAGTGAAACTTTTGGAGACGTCTAAACGTCTGACTGAAAATGAAGTCAGCTGGCTTTATTTTGGGGCCGAGTTTCGTTTTACTGAGTAATTGAGGGTCGCCTGTAATTAGGCAGAGAAGTGCTCAGTTGCTGAATCTATGTGTCAACTAAAATTTTACTACTGGATGTGAAGGATAGAGACCCTGTGAACGAGTTTAGGCAGCATATTGACCAACACAGCTCTATTTTAAAGGGTCGTGACTTAAATGGATACTGCAGAATCAGGTTTTGCGAGTAGAGACTGGGAGTGAGTAAATTACTCTCCGGAAAATGAGGTTCCGACCTTTTACGATCTTTGTCCTCATCTTAATCTGTAATACTTAATCCATAATACGTCACGAGGGCCGAACCTGAACGAGAACAGTTAGGAAATAAAACGGAAATAATAGGTTCCAGTCCTTACTCGGAAACCTGATTTTGGAGTATCCATTTAAGTCACGACCATTTTAAAGACCTTTAAACATATATGACGTATTTTAAAGACGGATTGAGTAAGTGACGTCATACGTTCTCTATACGTATATTTTACTGATATTCAATCGTGAGTATTTCCAGATCTACACAGAAATTTGAAAACGGAAAACATTCCTTTTTCTCTTTCATTGAATTTTATTTGATACAAAATCTTTCGAAACGAAAGAGAGGGAAGGATTTGATCATAAAAACATTTTGAAACGTTGTGATCTTCTGTGACTTGTAAACACACGCTAACAAGCCATTTAAGTTTCACCCGCTTCCGTCAACCGAGATTGAAATCCACCAAACGCGGCTTTACATGTCTTAAAATCCCTGGAAAAGACCCAGACTTCAATCTTACAGTCTTCCTGGATGTGGAAACGAACCCTGGACCCTCAGAAATCGAGAATTCTCGATCCTTGCAAACTCTTCATCCGTCCTCGGCGAGATGTTTTTGTTTACATCGACGAGAAACCATCTTCTCATTACGGCGCTATACTACATCCAACCTGTCCCAAAATTTGCTCCGTACATTAAAAAAATCTGGATATTCTCCGGTTTAGGGGAGTCCGAGCTGGCAAACAATCTCCAAACCGAAAAGGGCAAGTCCATCAGAATGTTACCACCACTTCGAAGGAACGAATTAAAGTGCGAATCAACACCCGAGTTCCTTTTACGACGACCTCGCGGTATCGTGGCAGGAATCGCTCTTACATTAGGAGAGTCAGCTATTGAAACCTTTTTTCCATGGAAAACAGTGAAAATCCATGTATACGATAAGCCTTGGTCACAGTGAAACTGAAATCTATGATTCAGTAGCGACAAGCAGCATTTATTAAATTTGGGAAAGAATCGCCAATTTATAGACTCTGGCGGAATAGAGTCCAAGGTGCTATTAAAACAGCGAAGTGCTCCTATTACAACAACAAAGTGAAAGGTCTGGCTGAAAGTAACCCCAAGAAATGGTGGAAAGACATCATATCTCTGACGGGGCAGGTTACATCTGGTAAACAGGAACGGTACCATCAATTCCTAAGTGACGTCATCACCAGTCCTGCAGAACTAGCTACTCAAATTAATGATTTCTTCACTAGTATAACCCAAGAGTTCGAACCTTTAACGCCAATCCAAACTCCGCCCAACGTAATTCCACCAGAGTTGCTTGTTTTCCTTAGAGGAAGTTTCATCTGACTTACGCAAATTATCCATACATAAAGCGGTGGGACCAGTTGGAAGATCGAACAAATTGTTGTAGCAATTTGCACCCGAATTAGCATCATTGATTCAAGATATTTACAATCAATCACTGAGAAAAGGTCTCGTACCTGACACTTTAAAACAGTCAATTATCTCACCAGTCCCTAAAGTTTGCCCTCCTCAAAACATTCAATCAGACTTGAGACCAATTGCACTCACAAGCTGTTTAGCAAAAGTACAAGAGGGTTTTACAAACAAAAGACTGTTAGATCAGGTGTTTGATTCTATCGACTCACGTCATGGACACTCTACAGTGTACGCACTAAATTTATTTAATGCAGGCTATACACGAAGCTATTGATTCAGGTAACTGTTCTATTCGGATATTTTTTGCCGATTTTACTAAATCCCATCTGGGGCTCGGATATTTTCTATTACACTTAAAATTGTTTCATCTTAACATGCTCACTTTGGAGGTTGGTTGGCCGCATCTTGATATGCCTTAATGTGACAGCGTGATGCTGTTAGTGAGTTTTCACAGGTGCTTACCAATACTTGGCTGTGTAGCCGCGCGATGCGGTTCCAGTCGAGGCCCACAAATTGACCCTTGCTCACCATAGAGTCTCCAGTAGCTCAGTGGTTAGAGTATCCGACTAGATCACGGAGGGTCGTGGGTTCACTTCCCATCTGGGGCTCGGATWTTTTCTATTACACTAAAAATTCTTTCATCTTTACATGCTCACTTTGGAGGTTGGTTGGCCGCATCTTGATATGCCTTAATGTGACAGCGTGATGCTGTTAGTGAGTTTTCACAGGTGCTTACCAATACTTGGCTGTGTAGCCGCGCGATGCGGTTCCAGTCGAGGCCCACAAATTGACCCTTGCTCACCATAGAGTCTCCAGTAGCTCAGTGGTTAGAGCATCCGACTAGATCACGGAGGGTCGTGGGTTCACTTCCCATCTGGGGCTCGGATATTTTCTATTACACTAAAGATTTTACTAAAGGTTTCGATATCATAGACCACTCAATATTGTTAGATGAACTCAGATCGTTCAACATCGATCAAACTCTGTTTTTTTGGATTCGGTCCTTTCTTACCAACCGGACACAGGCTGTACGCGTTGGCTCCTCCCTGTCACCATGGAAACAAGTCAATGGTGGCGTCCCACAGGGAACAAAACTCGGATTAACGCTCTTTACTGTCATGATAAACAAGCTACTCAGTAATTGGCATATGCGTACGAAGTATGTTGATGACACTACTGCATTTGAGATCATTCCAAGGAACTCCGTTACTATGCTAGATGTAGTTGTCAGAGAAATCCATGATTATTGCATAGAACATAGGATGAAATTAAATCCCAAAAAATTTTAAAGAAATGTACGTAAATTTTATGAAGAATTCGATTACGGCAATACGACCTATAACTGTTGGAAATCAAGAAGTGGAGCGGGTAGGAACT